AGAGAGAAGAAGAACGAGATACTCATGGCCTTTATTTATCAGGCAGTCAGTGCGTGCTCAACATCTGTTGTTGTTGTTAGCGGGCATATTATGCACAAGGTATGGCAGTCGAGTCCATAGGATACAAATTTCTTAAATTTCAAAATTCATTGCCTCAAATACTCTCGTATTCTCCGCGATTCGTATTTTATCGTATATAATATAATATACGAACAGTGGCCTAATTCGACGTACCTTACCGTCTCATTAATATACCCCTGGCCGGCCTGTTTTGCTTTTTAGCGGCCGATCCGGCGCATTTACGACTGAGTTGTTCTTTGGAAGTGCGCTGGTCAAGACGCGAAAATCTGAACAAAGTGCAGCAAAGAGAAAGATCCGTCTAACAATATTAAAAAAGTGTTGGGTGAAAGTGTTAGTAGTAATTTTACAAGAAGGTGTAACATTGAGATATAATTGAGATATAACCATTGAAGCAAGTGTAAACGCACAAAAGCGAAGAGAAGAATACACAATGCCGGTCGATATCTGCAGTCAACCCCACAACTTGCATAGTTCAATAAGGTAAACTAAATGAGCATACATACATCCAAATGTACGTACGTATGTACATATGTATGTATGTGCATGTAAATTGTGGCTGAATCTACATCATACATACATGCATACATACAGAGGTGCAATTTGGCGATGGTCGATTATCCAGTCATTCTTATCTCCCTGGCTTGGAATATCCCCTAATTGGCGAGCCAGACGGGGCAAATATATTGCCAAACAAAATTACATTTCTTTTTTCTGAGCAAATATTTTTCCAGCTCTTTTCGTATATTAAGCATATCCAATGAGAGGCGCATCTTAAATAGTAAAGTATTTTCAAGTCATTGAGGTGAAGGGATGGGGATTGGGATCCGTATCAAACAGGAATTTCAAATAACAAATATTTATCTGGCCTGCCCACTTGGCCTTTCAGATACGCCTTAGCTGGCGCACCCCATATGGTGTTAGTTCACGAAAAAAACAAATTACTTGAATATTATTTACATGGGAAATGTTGAAATGCTGTTGGCATTGAAATCTAGAATTACGTTTGTGCTGTGGCTTGTACATAGGAAAATCGAACGTAGACTATCAGTTTTTGATAGCATATCAAGTGCTGGAGAGAATGCGATTTACAGCCAGGTCCAGTCCCATTCAGATCAAGATTTCATATGATTAAAAGCTTGAATCGATTTTTGAATCTATTTAGGCTAACTTGGGAGGAATTCAAATATTTATTCTTAATGAATGAGATACCTTTTTACGAGATTTATTCTTTTTTCTTTTGTGTATTTGCAGCCCAACAACAGATACCTCGCTGTCTTTGAACTCATTATCCCTGTCGTCTGCTCTGCCGCCGACCGATTCAGATCTTCATCATAAAACACACAACATGAACAAATTGTGTCGCCAAGTGTCAATTGAGTCTCCCGGGCCGGGGGCTAAAAACTGCGTCTTCAACTTTTTTGTGCCTATCGAGGACACGCCAGCACTGGGTGCTCGGATCAGGATTGTGTGCGCCGGTGCGTGCTATCGTCGTCGGGATCGCTCCAACTCTATAACCAGCATGTCTTCAGTGTCCTCGGATTTGAGCGACTACTGTCCGTCGGTGAATTCTATGTCGTCGCCCGCTCACCAGGGCATCCGAGAGGGCTCGTTCTTTCCGGGCTTCGAGGTGGCTGGCGTAATTGAGGCACTGGGCTCGGAGGTCACAGAGACTACCAACTGCGGCCTGCGTATCGGACAACGCGTCATTGTCTATCCGTTCGATGAGACCCCCGCCGGCTATGCCGAACTTCTGGTTGTGCCCGATTTAAAGCACATCGTGCCCATACCCGACAGCCTGCCAATGGAAGTGGCGGCTATGCTGCCAACGGGCGCCCTGTTGGCCATGAATGCCGTCTTCAAGGCACAAGCGGTGGTCACACAGATCCTCGCTCAGCGCGCAAGCTCTGATCAAAAGAAGAACTGCAAAATCCTAATTGTCGGAACTGGCGGCCTTGCACTATGGGCCGTGCGAATCGCTTCCTATCACTTTGCCTTGGCTGGCGCCGACAATGTGGACATCACAGTGGCCAGTCTTCGGGACGAGGGCTTCCGCTTGGCCACAGAGATCAAGAAGTAAGTGAAACCCGATTTTTCTGCCACACGCGGATTACCAAAATGAAAATCCTTGTGTTTTGTTTCTGCTTGTAGTGTCAGCGTTGTCCAGTGGAATGAATGCTTGTATGAACCACAGCTCATTGAGCGCACCAAGGATGTGTGCGGTGGGGCTGTCGATGTGGTAATTGACTTTGGAACAACATCCAGAAGTCTCCACCGCTCCATGCACTGCCTATCCAAGGGTGGTGTGGTCTTGATCAGCGAGGAGGTGGCCGAGAAGTTGCTACCCAAGTTCTCCAGGCTCTCAAACGAGTACCAGCAGGAGATAACACCAATTTCGAATGGCACCGCCGAACAGTTGGCGGAACTGGTGGAGCTTGTGGCCAACAAAAAGATTGAGCCGCCGCCACACTCAGTGTTCCCCTGCGAACAGGCCGCCGAGGTTATCCAGAAGCTGTGTAACTCCGAAATACCAGGACGCGCCATTCTCCGCTTCCACGACATAGAGTAGACCCCGGCGCGGAGGCCAAGCATATTTCTGCTATCAAACATTAACTCATTTAATATCGATATCTGTTAGATGTATTCAAGTGACACACAACCACAAAACAAACTGTAACCTGCAACACTCTCGAGGCGTATTCAATTGTGCTTAATTTGTTGTTGGCCTGGCCCTTGTTTTGTACTTTTATTTTGGACTGTTGCCAAACCAGTGATGCTTCTCCACGTCTAGTTTCGTTTCGTTTCCTTTCACTGATTTAGAGTTGTAGGCATTTTGAGTATTATTGTATGTACATATAGATTGTGATTTATTTTATTTGTAAGCAAACCAAACCAAACCAAATCAAACCCTAGATCCTGCTCGTACTTTTGCGTACTGTATGAGTGCAGATCATCCAACATTAGCCACCAAGCGAATCCCAAAATGGGATTCAGCAGTCGGATATTATGCTTCTTTAATGATTTATTACGTACAAGACCCAACGCAGAAGCGGATTACAGAATAAATGTTATGAATATTATATACAAAATTGTTACGCATGCGATGCAAAATGTTTGATTCAATTGCTTGATGTTTATACTCATTACGTACGTACCCAAAACAACATTATACTCTACTCTTATTCATTAAAATAAAAGCATAACAATTACCAATTCTATGGCCATGATTGGATGATGATAACGATGCCACCACTGGTGCTGCAGTGCAGCAGATTTACCGAGTTAGTTACTTACTCCCCTTGTTCCGGACAGACCAGAGAAGGCGCTCATTGACTAATCTAATTTATTCGATTGAACTAAATGTATAGGAATCGCAAAGAAATATACGGATAAGAATTGATCAACAGGATCATGACAGAGAGCGTCGCCAGAGACTCCGGGCCTACCGGAAGCTTACCACGGTTTGGATGCTGTTGGCCCTATTACAGTGGCTGGGTGTCTGCTTGGTTTAGGTTTTGTTGAAATTTAGTCTAGTTGCCTTCAGTTGCATCTTTTCATTTAAATCTTCAGCATAGACTTGCGCGTGACCCTCAGCAAATATTATTGGATAAGTTTGATATTCATCACGATGTTCATATTTATCGAGAGGCTACGGATTCGTGCTCGGTCTGAACTGGCTGCTCTGCATGCTGATTGTGAGTAGTTCTGATTCCTTAGAGCTGTCTCATGTTTTACTCCCGTTTAGGTGGAGTTTCTGATCATCGGACTGTTTTCCCTTTCGGCCCAAACTGATTGCTCTTCACATATCTTTTCATACTAATCGGATCCGTTTTACCGGTAAAATTATCCAGCTATAGCCCATCTCATAATCCTCATAATCTTTCATAGCAAGACCATACCCTGAATGTGGTAATTCTCTTTGTGGTGGCCTTCCTCTTCCTCTTCATGAGCATGATGCACAAAATTATTGATGTGCCGTATTCGTTTTATGCTTATATGATTTTAATTGGGCTCATTGTGCTGATGGTAGGTCTAGGGCTCATCCCCAGGCTGTAGTACATATCTTATCCTTATCCTTCTCAGTTCGTGATGTACCATGCCCAGACAATTAATGGCGGCCGCTTTGCGGAGATGCGTATCCAAGACTACCTGCTGGCATCGCTAATACTCTTCAACGACTTCATCATTCTCTATATGCTAACCATCTACCCACAGGTCCTTAACAAAACAAGAGTCACCACCGACCACCACCACCACAGCTGTGCATTATTACGATGACAACGGCTATGAAGACGATGACATTGATGAACCAGCTGCTCTAGTCTCAAGTACTCCGGAACCAACCACTAGAAGAAAGACTAGAAGACCCAAAACCACTCCCAGGAGCACACCAAGCAAAACTAGAAAAACACCAAAGGTCACAAAACCCAAAACCACTCGTACGAGCAAAATCACAAAACCCAGAACCACTCAAAGGAGCAAACCAACAAAAACTAAAAAAACCACTAAGCGAAGAACCACAAGTACGAAAGCAACTAAAAAGACTACCCCTCCAAATGAAACAACCACAACTGATGATGACTGGGCAAATTGGGGTTGAGTGCAACAAAGGTAGAGGTTTTAGCGAGGAAGGCGAGAAAGGTTGACTACGTTTTGATAAAATCAGCCAAACTCAAAAAAATTAAAACATACAAATGAATACGAAGATTACAACGAGCATTGCACTGGGTTCACGCGATTATCCAAGTGCTTCGATTCAATTGCATTAAACAGGAATAAAATGGCTTTGAGCGTAATTGAGCGTTACCGTTTTATTTAAATACAGCTGGACAGTGCTGCAAATAGACGCGCAGAACAGTGCTGGAAAGCAGTCCAGGGCTGCACACCCATCGAATGGGTTAAACCATCGATAGTATCGATTGTAAAATTGCGCCAAAACGAATCAACGCAAAGACTTTGGTGTGGCACAGAGAAAAATCAACCCAATTTAAATAGCTGACGAAGGAGAATTTCTGAACTAAAACGCCTCGCTTGACTCTACACAAGTCCACAACGCTATGGTCAACAAAGAAAATGCAATTAGTTGTTGCCAGCAGGTGAAGTGGATCGGCAGCCACGACCCCAACAAGTTTGTGAAAAATCTAAAACACAAAAACGTGTACTTCTACGAAAAGTGCATTTACGGCCCATTGACACTAACAGTGGGCGACTACATATTGGTGTCGAACGCGGATGCGGGAGAGCCAGATACGGTTGATGGTTGCGATGTCGCCAAGATCCTTCATCTGTATGAGCTTCGCGAAATGACCCACAAGGAGCCCTGTCGCGCAATAGTCCAGTGGTACTCACGCCCCAGCTCCATTCCGCATAAGGAGTTTGATTCAGACGACATTGCCATTGACTTTGGCGTGGAAGTGATCGAAGAGCATCGTCCCTACGACAACGACGTGGCCTTGGGGGCCATCTACCGAAAGTGTCTGGTACTGGAAAGCACAGCACAACGCTCTGCCGAGCAGATATTGCAAAGCGCTTCAAGAAAAGTGAAATCCTCTGGCTGCCCCATGTTTGTGAGCCGATACAAGTTCATCAAGGTAAAGAAGCTTTATCGTCTGATACCCCTGGAGATCCAGCTGGACGAGCCCGATGACAAGTCATCATCCCGATCCCGGAAATCACTGTCCTCTGGCCACAATGAAACCAAAAAGGGATCAGCATCAGAGCGAAAGCCCAAGGTGCTTTCTGTTGCTGGCGCAGCAGCTACCACGGAGAAGCGCAGGCGGGCCTCTGTGAACGCGGCCAGCTCGCTGGAGTTTGTTAATGTCAATTACTTCAGCTGCGAGAACAAAGTGTCGCCCATCAAGATAGTCGGGGGCCGCAGCGTGGTGCGGCTTTCGGAGAAGAAGAATACCACTGCCACTGAGGCAGAGATTAATGCCAACTATCTGACGGCTTCCCCGCTGACCGAAAAGAACGCCAAGGTGGAGACGCCCAAGTCCCGGGTGTCGGCTGCACGCCGCAACCTGAACCTGAGTCTGGACAGAGGCGCTGACAGCACCGCGGACTCGGACTGCCTAAACTATTCAATAGTGCAGCAGACGCCTGACCCGGGGACACCCTCGAATGATATGAAAATCAAGCTGCGCATCTCGGAGCGAAGGAAGTCTGTGCGCCTAGCATCCATAGATCACGATCCCCTCTCCGTTGACTCTGACGCCAAAGACTGCCCAGCTACACAAGGACGCAAGCGACTTGGTGTAAGTAATGGGGACATTTATCACACCCCCACCAAGAAGGCGAGGGATCCGCTGGACACCAATGCCGGGGCTCAACTGACTCCCACGACACGCCGGAAGAGCATCCTCAAGTCAGCCACCAGTCGATTGGGTAAGTCGTTAGCTAATCCCCTCTTTGGAGACGCACGCTCATCTTCTCTTCTCTTCAGCTGAGGGAACACCCAGACGAAGCATACAACTATCCAACATTGTGGAGCAGCGAGTGTTCAAAGACGACGAAATAATATCCACCCCCAAAAGAGGCAACAAAAAGAAGTCCACTGAGGACGCTGACGCGGACTATTCGCCTAGGAAATCAGTTCAGAAAACGCCAACACGACCCCGTCGTATTAGCGCCTCTACCAAGTCAACGGCGACACCAACTCATGGCACCGTTGCAGCTGCAGCTGCAGCTTCAGCTGCACCGATGACTCCTTCGCAAAAGCTGAAGAAGATCCGCTCCGGTGAACTGAGTCCCAGCATGCAGCAGCGTTCGGGCAAGCCCGTGGATGACTTGCTCAAGTCCAAGCTGCAGCTGGCACGCGAGCAGCTGCACGTCTCCGTTGTGCCCAAGAGCCTGCCGTGTCGCGAAAAGGAGTTCGAAAATATCTACAGCTTCCTGGAGGGCAAGATTCAGGACCAGTGCGGTGGCTGCATGTATGTTTCTGGGGTCCCCGGCACTGGCAAGACTGCCACCGTCACAGGCGTCATTCGCACTCTGCAGCGACTGGTGGCCCAGGACAAGCTGCCTGGCTTCGACTTCCTTGAGATTAACGGAATGCGCCTGACCGAGCCCCGACAGGCCTATGTCCAGATATACAAGCAGCTAACGGGCAAGACTGTGTCCTGGGAGCACGCCCACACACTGCTGGAGAAGCGATTCACCACGCCTGCTCACAGGCGCGTTACCACAGTTTTGCTGGTCGATGAGCTGGACATTCTGTGCAACAGGCGCCAAGATGTCGTCTACAATCTGCTTGATTGGCCCACCAAGTCGGCTGCCAGACTGGTCGTAGTCACAATAGCCAACACAATGGACCTCCCCGAACGTCTGCTAATGGGTAAGCCATCAATCCTCAGCAGCCTCCAAGAGGTTCCACTACAGCGGCCCCACTCTTTGACAATTTCGCAGGCAAAGTAACTTCACGGCTCGGGCTGACGCGCCTCACCTTCCAGCCATATACGCACAAGCAGCTGCAGGAAATAGTCACCGCCCGATTGGGCGGGTCGGAGGCGTTCAAGGGTGAGGCTGTCCAGCTGGTGGCACGCAAGGTGGCCGCAGTGTCGGGTGATGCCCGTCGTGCGCTGGACATATGCCGTCGGGCCACGGAAATAGCCGACACCGCGCTGGACAAGTGTGTGACAATGCTGCACGTGCAGCAGGCGCTGGGAGAGATGATAGCCAGCGCCAAGGTGCAGGCCATTAAGAACTGCTCGCGCCTGGAGCAGATCTTCCTGCAAGCTGTGGCAGCCGAGGTCACGCGTACTGGCGTCGAGGAATCCACCTTCATGGGTGTGTACACCCAGGTGGAGACAATTGCAGCGTTCATGGGCGTCTCCCTGCCACCGCCAGGACGAGCCCTGCGGCTCTGCGCCAAGCTGGGGGCCGAGCGGCTCATCATCAGCGAGCACTCCCGCAACGATCTCTTTCAGAAAATTCTTCTCAACGTCAGCACGGACGATATCCACTATGCCCTCCGCGTGGGAGAGGTTGGGTCAGTCAATTGATCCATCTATTAATCTGTATAATTTTTAACCACATAGACAATTTTATAGCTCATTATCGATCCACATCCCCATCCACGTTGTGCTGTTCCCAGGTTAAGCGTTTTTAAACTTTTAAATGTAATTAATATTTAAGCGTCGCGTTTAAACAATTTAAAGTACAAAGTCGTTATTACAAATACAAAATAGAACACCAGCACCGTGTAACAGTCATAGAGCACCTTCGGTGAGAAGACGGAATAGATAAAGAGGTGGTAGCGGAAGCCAACCATTAGGCAGAGGTAGAAGGCTGCGGGCAGCATGACCAGGCTGGCATAGAGCGGAGCTATCAGCGAGTCCGCGGCAACCGAATAGGGCGGCTGCAGCTGCATGATGCCCACGCTCCGCAGATCGGAGCGGAGCGTGTGTACAATAAGGTAGAGGAAGGAATGTATTTCCGCGCTGTACGTGTTTAGGGTGACGAATAGGCCGACAATGGTCGGATTGTAGCTCGTCTGGCCAATGTAGCCCGGTGTGAGGTCAATGGTCGAGAGGCTGTTCGAGTTGCCCTGGTAGAAGTAGAACATTCTGGCCACGAATATGGTCAGGATGATCTTGTATACGTGCAGCAGACGCACAGAGAACTTCCTGGCGCTGGTGCCGAAGGCATCGCATAGCTTGTACGTCTCGTCCAGAGCTATGAGCAGTGTAGGCAGGAGTACGACGTTCTGCACCTTCTGCAGCAAAGCCACCAGCAGTAGAGAGCTGGTCAGATTCGCTTGCAGCAGCTGCAGTAGAACGCTCTTCGGCGGCATCGGCTTCTCACCGAAACTTTTGTCGAAAAGAGTTTGTGGCAGCGCCGCCCGATAGCCCAGCACCAATACCAGTGCAAGGCAGCACCAGAAGACCACCAGAGTAGGGACCATCAAACGAGATCTGAAAAACATGGAAATGATTAGTGTCGAAGTCGATTCGAGTTGCAGATCGATTGGCGCATACGTCAGGTACGAGGGCAGCTCGAAGAACTGCACCTGGCCGTTGAGACCGCGATAGCAGTAGACCACAAGGCATGCCGCTGCACTCGCACAGCTCTGCGGCAGTTGGGCAAACTTGCGCAGGCGTGCCCATAGCAGCATCAGCGAGAACAGCATGAGGGTGCTGCGGATGGCATGGAACCTGTGCAGGTAACGCATGAGCGTGAGCAGAATGAGGACCACAAAGATCTTGCGCTGCTGCCACAGACACGCAGAGGCAATTTTGTGCAGGTGCCGTCCGTCCAGCTCCACATTGGCCTTGGTGATACGTCGACGCAAAGTCCTGAGCGCGGTCAACAGGATGATAGTGTTGCCCAGGTAGTACCAGGTCTTGTACTCGAACTCGATGAATGACGAGGAGCCCAGCGTGAAGGTGCGGATGGCAAAGCACATGAGCAGTGGCAGCGGCAATGGAATGGAGAGCTTCAGGCGACGAGTGTACAAAGGTGGCAGGGCTATCTTCAGCAGAGCCTGCGCAACATCGAACGTCAGATAAATGGACAGGGCTAGGGGCACGACGAGCAAAATGCCATAGAACATAGAGCTTGTGAGGATTATGTCGAGTACATGGCTGGCTACGTTGAGCAGAGCGGCCATAGCCAGACAGATCAGCAACTGCACCGGCTTCAGTCTGTCCAATTGGAGCTGTTCGGTAAGGTCCAAGAACAGGACGCTGAGCACAATGTGAAGGGATGTCTGGAAAACTAATGTAAACGAATGCTGCACACTGAGATTAATTGAACAAACTTACAGCGGTTGTCAGCGAAAGTCCCAGGACAATGAATCCGTAGTCAAACTTCACCAGCGAGTCTGAGAGCAGCCCGGAAATCTCGCGAGCCATCCGTATGTAATTCAACTTGGCGTTCTGATAGAGCACCTGACTGGCCCCACTGCCGTCCCCATCCCGCAGCGGCAAGAGCAGCTTCCTGTGCAGCAGAGTGGCGTTCTGGTACCAGGTGTAGTAATCTACAAATATTCTATGGCTTCATCAGTTGATATGAAAAGGGGATATACGCACCGCTGCGGCGTACTGTTTCATGGCCGAACTTTACTCTGGCCTTGTTCAGCAGATGATGGGCGTTGTAGAAGTAAGCGTACAGCTCGTGCTCCAATGACAATGACTGCAGCATTTCCGGAATCAGGCAGCCAATGGACTGGGAAGGTATCTCAACGGAGAGCAGCACCGCCAGGGTGGGTGCCAAATCTATTTGGTTGTATCGCTTGGAGCCCGAACTGAAGAAAGTTGAAGAAAGGAATTACAGGGGCCAAATCTATGTAACAGTATGAGCGGCTTGCCTTGGCCTGGAGCAGTTCTTCGAGTATAAGTACAGCGGTACGAGAGTCTCTGCTGGCGTATTGCCTCCATGTCCACCGCCTTCAGCCATGCCGTGATCGCCAGTCAGCAGCACCAGATAGTTTGGAAAGTTCTGGGGTCTCACAATATTTTCATATCTAGCAGAACTTTATAAACTTTTCGAATCGCTCACCCTATGATCAAGTATCTTTTGAAGAGCTTCGTCCATTTCCTTCAGTTTGTGTTGCACCTTTGGGCTGGCATTGCCCTCGACATGGCCAATGTGGTCCAAGCCAAGATAGTGCAGTATTAGCAAGGACCAGTCCTTCAGCTCCAGCTCTGACTCCAGCACCCTTGTCACATTTCTGTCGCCCTGCGCAATATGAATATTTTATGTTTTGGCCAGATGTTGTCCCACAATTACTCACCTCGTAGAAGTCGTTGACAAAAAAGGAATCGTTGTTCTCAGCATGGCGTGTAAACTCGCTGGGAAACAGGTTTATCCAAGTGTGGTCACCGGCAAAGGACACGACGCGGTTCCGCTGCTTGAGCCGATGCAGCAGTGAATCCTCCAGCTGCTCAGTGTGGCCCACATTGAGCGCTATGTCGATAAAGTTGGATAGGGTGCCGGTGGTGATGCTCTTCAGTCGTGGCATCGTCACCGTCGGAATGTCTACGTGAAGCGTCAACTTTTCGCAGGCCTTTGAAAATGCCACAGGCATGGACGTGGCACTGGGAAAGTCCTCACGCAGAGCATCCACAAGGAATAGTATGAGGGAGTCGTAGCTCGGTGGCGGCGTTTCAAGCCTGAAAAAAGAACACGTTATCGGATTTTTATCTGGTAGCGTGCCAACACCGATAGGGTACACCTACCTTACGCCGTGGAGCGTTGTTGGACGGTCATTGGGTATGCTGTTTTCTGCCTCCGACGCCGTATAGGAGGCTGGAAAGAATCCAATGAGGAAGAGCACCGCCCCGCTGATGAACAATGTTAGCATGCAGAGCGTGTACCCCATTCGACTCTTGTGGTACTCCATTTCGCTTTTGCATTGGAAATTTCTTGTTCCCAACCAGCAAACTCGGAAAGTGCCGCCTGTCAGAATCAGGAGATAAACAAACCGCTATCGTTATCGTTATCGATAACGTATCGCAGCAGCTGATCGGGATGTAAACAATTGACTTGACTTGTTTGATTTTGGCAAAATGGAAACTTGTGGGCTTATCTATGTGAGCAGAGACTACAAAACGTTTCTGATGAGATGCTCGTACTGCCCCACAGACGTTGAGGTGGACAAGTGGCAGGAATTTGTGGTGCACTATCGCAATATGCACAGCGCCTTGCAAGTGGTTGAGGACCACACTGGCATGGATGTGGACGCCAGTTCTAGCTTAAAAGCGGAGTTTCTGGATGAAGATTACCACGAGAACGAAACTTACAAGGAGGAAAATGATAACGAAGACGAAATAGAGCAAACCACGCATCCGGAAGATGGGCTGCAACAGGGAAATGCAGTGGAAAAAGTTGAATTGGAAATCGAGGCTGTCACTTCGCGGACAATCTCTTCCGTTGACGATTCGGATTCGGAGGCAAGTCAATCCGAGTTTGTGGAAACGGACTTAGATGCTGAATCGAATAAGTCTGCAGAAAACGAGGATGCATCTGCACTGGCTACGCCCATATACAAGGTACACTGATAATTGATATTGATACTGACGTATTCCTAACAAACCTGGGTAATTCAGTTTCACCCATCGTTCTTTCGCCGGGACCCTCGAACATTGAAGTTCATTGAGCTGTACAAGGAACATCCGTGCCTCTGGAACCCGGGAAATGTCCGCTTCAAGGACCCCAGTGCATGCAAGGAGGCCTATCGGAAGATGATTAGTGATTTGGAGGCAAAGGTGGCCATGTTTCTGAATGAAATCTCGCTAAGAGCGGCCATAAGAAAGATGCATCTGCAATACAACACCGTGCACAAGCGAGTGCTATGTGGCACCCAGAAGGCCAAGTCTGTTGCCTTCAGCCATTACACCATCTGCAGCTTTCTGCAAGACTGTGAGGTACAGAGAGACTCGTACAAAAACGAAAAAATACAGGCAAGAATTCGTCTTAACATAAGTCTGCAAGTGCTGATCGCATTTATTTGTTTACAGCTGGACTTCACCCAGAAGAATAAACTAACTACAGAGCTGATAGAGCTATACGCAAATTTTCCGCAACTCTATGATCAGAATCACAGCGAGTTCTGCAGCATGAATTCTCGAAAGCAGGCTTATGAGAGTTTGGCTGTCGAAATCTCAGTGTCGAATGTGGATATTAACAGCGATGACATCTATCGTGCCATCCAAAACCTTCGACAATGGTACTACAAGAGCATGAAACTTGCCATCAACAATGGCAATGAGGCAGAGCAGTTTTATTTGAAACTCTGTGGGTTCTTGCCTCCGAAAATGTTCAAGCAGAGGCTTGTGTGTGAGATTTGCCATGCAGTCACCTCATCCGATCACGTGCTGCAGTCGCACATATTCAAGGCACACAACATTGGCGAGCTGCCATTTAAGTGCACAGTCTGCCATCGGAGCTTCGTTGGACGGGGCGAACTGGCCAACCATATGCAGCGGGTTCACATTGGCAAGACGCACCAGTGCGTCCATTGCGAGAGGAGTTTTGCCGTCAAGTCGGACTTACAATTGCACATTCGTACGCATACTGGCCACAAGCCCTTCGTTTGCGAGCTCTGCGGCAAGGCATTTCGACTGAAGTCGCAGATGAATTTGCATGTCACCGCAATCCACACGAAATTAAGAGCCTTCAAGTGTACGATGTGTCCCAAGGATTTTGTGAAAAAAGTCGACTTGTCAGATCATATCAAGGGCCATTTGAACATCCGAGACAAAATATGCACAACATGCGGAAAAGGATTTACGAGCTGCCACTCGCTAATCCGCCATCGCCAAATACACTCCGAGGTCAAGAAATTTGTGTGCAAACTTTGCGATGCACGATTTTCGCAATTTGTTGGCCTGAACTCCCACATGAAGCGCACCCATAATATTGTTCGCAACAATTCACAAAAGGCAACAGAAATCGTGAAGACTGAAATTAGCTAAAAAGAATTTAAAATGTAATCAATAAGTAAACGGCCGATATTTAATTTGAACTCAGTAATGTAATCCATCCATTCGATAGGCAATATCGATATCTGACGAGAGCACTTGCACGTTTTTCAGCACTAGGTTAAATGACAATTGCATCAAAAAGTGGCTTCGTAAATATTACAAACGCGGTGCGCTTGAATAGAAACTCATTGGCTTATTCAGAATTCATTTGATAGTCGCCATAATGGAGGTATGCGGAAGCGTTTTGGTGTGCAACAACTATGAGCAGTTCCGCTTGAAATGCATATACTGCACAATTGAAAGCGACCTAAAAGATTGGGAGCAGTTCACGTTTCATGTGAGAAATGCCCACTACTTTGAGGAGGAGGATGATGAAAACATTGAGAAATGTTGGAACGAGCAGGACACACCTATTGAGGAGATGGACTCCACAATCCAATACGAAGTCCCTCAAGTTTTAGACGAAGCGGAACCCATTGAAGAAGGGGAAGACCAGAGTAACTTGCCATTTTGCATACTCGAAGACGAGGACTGGACCAACGACGAGACGAATGAGAATGTATGTTAGTCCCTCATAAGGTGATTCGAATCACTTAAACTTCTTCGAACATTTGCAGAATATACAATACGAGGAGGATAATGTCTATGAAAATAACAACACAGAAGTCACATATCAGGAAATGGAATCGTCAGAAATGGCGCAGGCCTCATGCAACGCAAATGTGTACGAAGGTTTCTCTAGCAATTGTTCTCAGCAGGCTGCACCGTTTGATGATCTAGATAACTTCTCGTATGATGAACACGAAGAAGAGTGGCCAAAAAGATTCGGACGTCCTCCCAAAAGAGCGCGTCCCGGACAAGTTTATAAAGTAGGATGTACAATGTACCGTTCTTTGACCTCACACTAACACTTGTTCATACTTGCAGTTGAAGGTTACGTTTATTCGACGCAATCCACGCGTGCTACACCTAATAGAAGCTTACAGGGAGCATCCCTGCCTATGGAATCCCTCGGACGAGCAATACGAAAATGAGGAGGCCCGATCGGAGGCGTACCACCTGATGATACTGCGACTGGACGAGAAAGCCAATGTGCTCTTTACCGAAGAAGAGTTGATGAAAACCATCCAGCAGCTGCACAGCCAATACACACTTGCAGCCCAAATGTCTGGCGAAAATAAACTCATTGGCCTGGCGGCCCGATACTTTGCAAAATGTGATTTCCTCCGTTCCACACCCTGTACAACCCTATCCGACGACGACGGGGAGGAAGTTCAACTGGATACAATTAAGGTGAGTACGGTATTACAAGAAGTGTAATATGTCGTCGTGACTGATCCAAATTTTATGTTTCGCTTCAGCTCAACTTCAAAGTGGAGAACGAGGTAACCAGCGCTTTTATAGAAACATATGCAAATTATCCCGTGCTCTACAATACCACGCACCCTCATTTTGATTCGGTGGAGGAACGCACAAGAGCCTACATAAGGTTGGCCAAAGAATTTAGACCTGTTGTTCTGGCCAACGATACGGATGTTTATATTGCGGTCCAAAAACTGCGGAAGTGGGCATACGAAGCCATGAGGCGAATGAAAGCGAAGGAACTGATTAAAGCCTGCAGCCCACAGGAGCTTCAGTACCTGCAAATGTGCAGCTTTCTGCCCGTCAAACCGGACGGTCACATATGGTACTGTGAAAACTGCGGGAAGCGATTCCACGGGGACTACAACCTCCGGACACACATGTTCAAACAGCATAACATCGGTGAACCGCCATACCTCTGCTCCCAGTGTCCCAGACGCTTCGAAAGGCAACACGACATGGAGAAACACATATTGAGAGCGCACAGTGAGCGTAAATTTCAATGCAAATTTTGCGATAAGTTCTTTCCCGTTGAGTGCGATCTAAAGGTGCATCTAAAGGTCCACACCGGCGAGCGCCCATATGTGTGTGAGATGTGTGGAAAGGGGTTCCGGTTGAAGCTGCTGCTGGATCACCACGTGAATGGTGTCCACCTGAATATACGTCCTTTCAAGTGCAGTATGTGCGAGAAAAGTTTCCGAAAGAAATTTGAACTCATGAATCACCTCAAAGGACATTTAAATATTCGTGATAAGAAATGCGACAAATGCGACGCTACATTTTATGACCATTCATCGCTATCCCGACATCGCAGATTTAACCATAGAAATAAATTCGAAGAGACCTAGTCTTGTGTATTTAAACATTTTAAAGGGTTGCACAAAACTGCCGAATGGGTTTCCTTGTTGTTATGTTAATGTTAATTTATTCAAAATAAGTAACTATATTTGTGAGTATCGACGTACAATAAATACAACACAACAAATATCGAGAATTTTTTTTCCGTTTCCCAGCACTGCTTGACCAGTGTTGCAGCTGTTTCACTATGCTGGTTTACTGTTTTGTTGTTTGATGTGATTTAATTATAATGATTTGTGGAAACATTCTGGCACGGAGCAACTATGAACATTTCGTATTGAGTTGCGGGCTGAGCAATGACTGCGAAGTGCAAATGGACATTGAGAGGTGGAAGGAGTTCGTCCTACACATTAAGCGGCATAGAGAAGAAGATCAAGGGAGTGATAGCGACTTCGATGCCAGTGCAAGCAGCGACAATTTCCTAACAGAGAAAAACTCTGGCCTGTCTGACGTGAAGGATGCCGAAGATTGTTTGGCCGAGGGCATGATTGTGGATCTCCCCTTATCATCCGATGAGGAAGATGCCGATGAAGAAGACTGCCCTACAGTCCCGGTCGCATGCGAATTGGAAGGAGGGCAGACAACAGACTTCTCGCCCATAGTAAAAGTAAGCACCATCTGTCATATTTGCAGTACAAAACATTGATCCATGTCTTCATTTGGTTTATTTTCAGTTTAATCCAACCTTCTACCGCCGCAGTCCGCGAATTACTCAATTCATCGAACTCTATAAAGAACATCCGTGCCTGTGGGATCCTTCAGATGCGTCCTATAAAAACAAAGATAAGCGCACTGATGCATACGAGTCATTGATGGAGAATTTGAAAACGTCTGTCAACATTCATCTGACCATCTATAGGCTGAAGAAGTCCATAGCCAGCCTGCACTCTCAATACGCAGCAATAACGCGGCAAAAAAAGATCCAAAAACTGACCAAGGTCCCGCTGTACTATCATGCAAAGTACAACTTTCTCGCGAAGCGAGGAATTGTTGAGGAAGGTGACAGCGATGATGATGGCGGCGATGGCAAAATAAAGGTAGGCTTTATTACACAGAATATGTAGAACACAATTTTAAACAAGTTTCCTTTTTGCAGCTCACGTTTACAGAGGAAAATCTGCTGACGAGTCTGTTTATTAAACTATATTCCAAATTTCCCCATCTGTACGATCCGGCGAACAAGAACTTCTCGAACCTAAGTGAGCGCAAAAATGCTTACATAGAAATGACTGATGTTCTCTCCTCAGAAGTTCCACTGGGAGTGATCACCCACTACGACGTCTACGACAGTATTCTAAGTCTACGCCAGTGGTACGCTCGAAAAATGAAGACTCTCACTGAGGTTCAGACGGTCGGCCTGTCGACGGCTGAGAAAGAGTATATTGACAGGTGTCAGAGCTTTATGCCGACGAAGACGTTCCGCCAGAAATTACAATGCACACTTTGCCAGAAAAGTTTCAGCACTGACCATGCGCTGCAGGCACATCAGTTCAAAGATCACAAGCTGGGCGAAGGTGGCTGGTTTAAATGCCCATTGTGTGAACTGAACTTCGAGCGGCGGTGCCATCTGCAGCAGCATAACCAACGTGTTCACATGAGCAAAACGTTCACCTGCCACATTTGTAGTCGAAGCTTCGCCTTTGGCAGCCAACTGGCCACGCACAAGCGCTCGCATGATGAAAAACATGTGGCCAAGCCGTACATCTGCGAATTCTGTGGAAAATCGTTTAGACAGAAGATTCAGCTGAGCACCCATGTAACCGCCGTGCACACCAAAATTCGTGCATTCAAGTGCACAATGTGCCCCAAAGACTTTTTTACTAAGCGCGATCTCAAGGATCACGTTAAGGCGCATTTAAATATACGCGACAAGGTGTGCGATGTCTGCCAGAAAGCCTTCACAAACGCCAACGCCCTGGTCAAACATCGGCACGTACACCGGGAGAAGACCCTCCAGTGCACCCTCTGCAGCACCCGTTTTTCCGAGCGGGTTAGCTTGGGTGTTCACATGAGGCGAACCCATAAGATTATTAAAAACACTTTGAAAGTTGCTGAGACTACCAACGACGCCCTTCTTAGAAGCACATTCCCACAATCTCGCGAGATTTCAGATTAATAAAATACATTTTTAAATTGCAATTTGCTGGAATTTATTGAAACGGTCCGTCCCCATGGTAATTGTACAACACTGCATGAGCAGCTGTTTTCTGTTTTGATTGAGCAGACAGGTTACGTCGATTCCGCGTCTTGACTGTGCTGAGCTGAGAGATGAGAGGATTTCTTCCGAAGTTGTGGCACCATTTGGATGCTGTTTTTTGGCCGACAGTATCCAAGAAACATGTTGTCAGAAGAATCAACAGCAGCTGGGGCTGGAGAAACAGCCGCCACTTGGCCACTAGTGGCGGGCAGAACCCGGCAACTAAATTACGTGAGAGACCGCACTGTAATGTGGGAACTATTGGTCACGTAGATCATGGGAAAACGACGCTCACTGCTGCCATTACCAAAATCCAATCCAATAAAGGATTAGCTGAATACTTATCCTACGACCAGATCGACCGGGCCCCAGAAGAAAAAGCACGCGGCATAACCATAAACGCGTGCCACATCGGCTACGCCACCACGGAGCGTACCTATGCCCACACCGATTGTCCGGGCCATGCGGATTACATAAAGGTGAACTGACCCTACTCGGATAACTAACTTGCTGCTAACTCTCCTTCTCTATGGCATGCAGAACATGATCTCAGGAGCTTCCCAAATGGATGGTGCAATCCTGGTTGTGGCAGCGACAGACGGACAAATGCCCCAAACACGCGAACATTTGCTGCTGGCCAAGCAAGTGGGCATACACCGCATTGTGGTGTTTATCAACAAGGCCGATCTAGTAGATCAGGAAGTATTGGAGCTGGTGGAGATCGAGATGCGCGAGATGTTGAGTGACTTTGGCTTTGATGGCGTCAACAGCCCAGTCATTTGTGGCTCGGCCCTTTTGGCGCTCCGCGACGATCAATCGGAGTTTGGAGTACCTTCTATTGAGAAGCTGTTGCAGCATTGTGACTCCTATATACCAACACCACAGCGGGATATGAAGGCTCCATTCATCCTGCCAATTGACAATGCATTTACTGTTCCAGGCCGTGGCACAGTGGTGGTGGGAACTATCAAGCGGGGCACCATTCTACGCAACGCTGAGGCAGATCTGTTGGGCTTCAATCAGAACCTGAAGACGAGCGTCAGTGACATACAGATCTTCCGCAAGAGCGTGCCTCAGGCCCTCGCAGGCGAAAATGTCGGTGCCCTTCTGCGAGGCATTAAAATATCCGCCGTGGAGCGCGGCATGCTTCTCTGTGCATCGGGCTCCGAGGATGTGTCCAACCACTTCGAGGGCTCCATGTACTTGCTGTCGCGTGCCGAGGGTGGCCGCTTCAAGCCGATGCTTTCGAAGTACATTCAGCAACTGTTCAGTATGACGTGGAATGTCCCAGCGCGCATTGACATGGGTAAGGAGGATTGAAGCCTTAACATTCTTATCTTGAGATGTTGACAATTGCCAATTAATAACGAATCTTGCAGTGCCCAACGAGGCCATGCTGATGCCGGGCGAGCACGGACAGGTTCGCATTACGCTGCTGCGCAAAATGGTCATGACAACGGGTCAGCCATTCACCATTCGGGAGAACGGAGCAACTGTTGCCACAGGCATGATAACTCAGCGAATGGACCCCCTGGATCTGCCAAAGAACAAGTTGTCAAAGGCAGTTGTCCCTTGCTGAGGGGTATCCTCCTTCCTCCATCAGTTTTGTACACATTTATATATTGTATTTTATTGTACACGCGCATCTGTTAAGTTGATATACATATGTTCTTGTATTTATGTGTATAAGTAGGGTAAATCTTACTATATTAAATATGTAGGTCAAAGAAATGCCAACGTATTTTTAATCTGCTTCGGATCAATCAGATCCGCAATGGCGACAGTTGAGAAACACATAATTAGAAACTACACAGGAAACGAGATGTACTCTCATAAATAAAAATAGTAAAGAAAAGTATCGATGTTCATCATGAGTCTTATCCTAACATATGTGGTCTGCATTGCGGGCCACACTTTAAGGCATCGCTTGAGTAAATTCATGCTGTAGTCTACACATACATATCATATTTATTGTAAGGTACAAGGCTGTAGCAAGGACTGCTCTTTATGGTTGGAGGGAGTCTGACTCCCGGCACTTATTGCATTTCACAATTGCATTTCGATCGGTTCCGAACCTCTCGATCACTTTCACTACAAACAACTTGTATAATAATAACCTAAACCTTGCAATCTTCGGTGGATGCCAGGGCACATTGGAATGGACTTGGGTCACGTGTTGGACATTTTAAGCTAATCAGGAACTAAATGGGGGTTCGTTTCGGCAAACTTCTAAGCATTTCATATTCTAATGCATTGGCTAAGAACATTGTTAATATCTATAATTTAAATATATTATAATACACTAAAAGAAAATGCTCCTTTGTCAGTTTAAATGGCAATCAGCAGTCAGATCTGGAGACACCTATATTTTCTCCAGAAATTCATCCAGATTTAGATGCGACGGCAGCTCGATATCCTCCAGCTTGATGTCACTGTACCTGAAAACCACCTTGAAGGGCTGAATGAATTTCTGGTCCATGGTGAACTCATCGCTGTTGCTCTTTTGCTGTAAGTAATAAACGATTGATGAAATGCTCAAAGGAGCCGTTAATGTTCATACCGTTTGTCGGGCATTCAGCTCCTTGGTGAGTTTCTCCAGAAACACGTTGGTAATCTCATTCTCATAGTCATCCAGCTTGTACGACTTCATTACCTTTAGGACCTGCGCTGTACTCAGCGACGTGCATAGATCGCAGATCGTTTGCACATCTTGTTCGCTCTTGCGGGACTGCAGCAACTGGGAAACCTGGTTCAGCGGCGACAGCGGTGCCAGCACTTCGTTTGACTGAAAGAGCAAAGCGTTAGTTGGGGAATGCTCGATACAAGTCAACTATTCTCACCATTTTCTTGCTGTGCACCCAGTCCTCAATGCAGCCAATATTGTAGCGTATTACCATGCCCGTCTCCCACATGCAGATGTCGCCACGCAA